CGATCACCCCGCCCCGTTATCCCTCTTTCGATCACCCCGTCCCATTCTCCCGCTTTCCATCACCCTGCCCCGTTCTTCCTCTTCCCATCACCCCGCCCCATTCTCCCACTTTCCATCACCCCGCCCCACTCTCCCTCTTTCCATCAACCGGCCCATTCTCCCGCTTTCCATCACCACGCCCCATTTTCCGGTTTTCCATCACCCCGGCCTAATCTCCCGCTTTCCATCACCCCGCCCCGTTCTCCCTCTTTCCATCACCCCGCCCCGTTCTCCCTCTTTCCGTCACCCCGCCTCATTCTCCCTGTTTCCATCACCACTGCCTGCCCCTTCTCCTTACACTGAGCAGACAGGAGGTCTTGCTGAGCGTCGTGAGCCTGCGTCTCGTCCTGCGTCGCCCGTTCGCACTGCTCGCACTAGTCCTCGTGTCCCACGTCCGCGTCCTCCTCCTGTCCCTGGCACGCACCAGATGACACTTCGTCCGTCCACTGCTCCACTGCGTGTTCCACTGCCGTCCCCCCCTGCGTCTTCTCTGCCTGACGTTCCAGACCCTGAGTCTGACCGTGTACGTGCTGCTCACCCTACTGTCACGCGTCTCCTGGCCACTGTTGTCACTGACCCTTCCTTTGAGTCCGCTGCTGCGTCTGCCTTAGTTGCTGAGCTTGTCGACTTTGCTGCTCACTGTCGTCTAGACTACGCCGCGAGTCTAGTTGCTGAGTCTGAGTCTGTCTGTCCTCCGTCCGTCGGGGGTGAGTGTGCTCTTGGCACGGACGTCCTTGAGGACAGGCAGGAGGAGTTTGAGTGCTTTGCCGCTGCTGTACCTCATCTCGTGTCCATGCTGATTGCACCTGAGGGAGACCCGGATGCACCAGACATCCCGACCCCGCGCTCTTACGCTGAGGCGATCGCGGGTGAGTACTCCTCTCAGTGGCAGATAGCCATGGACGCAGAGATGGCATCCTGGAAGTCCACTGGCACTTACGTCGACGAGGTTCCCCCTCCTGGGGCGAACATCGTCAATGGCATGTGGATTTTCAGGGTGAAGCGGCCGCCAGGTTCTCCGCCTGTCTTCAAGGCTCGTTACGTTGCTCGAGGCTTCAGTCAGCGAGAGGGAGTAGACTTCTTCCAGACCTTCTCCCCCACCCCGAAGATGACCACTCTTCGGGTGCTGCTGCACGTTGCCGCTCACCGTGACTACGAGCTTCACTCTCTTGACTTCAGCACAGCTTTCTTGCAGGGCAGCCTGCACGAGGAGATCTGGCTGCGCCGCCCCCTGGGCTTCACTGGGTCGTTCCCTCCTGGTACCCAGTGGAGCCTCCGGCGGCCAGTCTACGGTCTCCGCCAGGCGCCTCGTGAGTGGCACGACACACTGAGGACTACACTTGCGGCACTTGGGTTTGCTCCCTCCACAGCTGACCCGTCGCTGTTTCTGCGCACCGACACTTCACTGCCGCCGTTCTACATCCTCGTGTACGTCGACGACTTGGTGTTTGCCACTGCGGACACTGAGGCTCTCGCCCACGTGAAGTCGGAGCTGCAGAAGAGACACACGTGCACAGACTTGGGTGAGCTGCGCAGCTACCTTGGCTTGCAGATCACCCGGGACAGAGCACGCCGCACCATCACCCTGACTCAGTCACACATGGTGCAGCAGGTCCTTCAGCGCTTCGGCTTCACCTGGTCCTCAGCACAGGCCACTCCTCTGGCTACAGGTCATTCGCTCTCAGCTCCACCTTCGGACGAGTCCGTAGAGCCGAGTGGTCCTTACCCAGAGTTAGTTGGCTGCCTCATGTACCTGATGACTTGCACTCGTCCTGACCTCGCGTACCCTCTTGGTCTTCTGGCTCGCTACGTGGCTCCTGGTCGGCACCGACCTGAGCACATGGCTGCTGCTAAGAGGGTACTGCGCTACTTGTGCAGCACATCAGGCATGGGGCTAGTGCTTGGAGGGACGAGCCCAGTTGTTCTCACTGGGCACTCAGACGCTTCTTGGGTTGACGACCAGGCTACTCAGCGGTCGTCACAGGGTTACACCTTCAGCCTTGGCTCTGGTTCAGTTTCGTGGCGTTCTACACGCTCGTCTTCAGTTCTCAGCTCCAGTTGTGAGGCTGAGATCTACGCCACAGCCATGGCTGCACAGGAGTTGCGCTGGCTCACCTACCTGCTGACTGACTTGGGAGAGCAGCCTCGTTCTCCTCCAGTGCTGTACGTCGACAACAAGGCCGCCATTGCCTTGTGTGAGGAGCACAGACTGGAGCACAGAACAAAGCACATCGCTCTGCGTTACTTCCTGGCTCGAGAGCTGCAGCAGCGTGGTCAGCTTCGTCTGCGTCACGTGGCCACTCGGGCCAACACTGCTGATATATTCACTAAGGCGCTTCCGTCTGGTGATCATCAGCGTTTCTGCACTTTGCTAGGGCTTGTGCCCACATTTCCTCACTTGCTGTAGGCCTTGCTTGTACTGTGATCTATATATATATATATATATATATACATATATATATATATATATATATATATATATATATATACGTGCATGTTTGCATTGCTAGGTAGAGATCACTGTGCTGTTCTTGCTGCTTATATACCTCTACATGTGGACTGGCCTTGTGGCCGTTTGTTTGTGCTCAGTGTGTGTGGTGACGTTGTGATCCACCCTGAGCCGTGTTTTGTTTCTTCTCTTGACTGGTCTTGTGACCATTGCTTGCTCTGGCTATCCCCCATTTCGCCTATGGGGGTGTGTCAAAACATATGCATGTTAGTATCTAGGCTATATTGGGGCTAGCCTTAAGGGGTACACAAACTCACTCGACACTCTAGTCTTGTACCCCAACCTCCACCTAATCGCACATATACTCTTCTCATTCTAACAGACAATGCAGGGACAGGCAGAGAGGCCATGGGCAATGATGGCTCCCCCAGGCCACGCTTGTAGGCCCTTCACTCTTGTACATACTACCGTATTACGAGTTTTGAGTGTTGGATTGCAGAGCGCAACAAGATGGTGCTGTCGGGGTGGATGCAGCTGCATGCTGACAATGCAGGGACAGGCAGAGAGGCCATGGGCAATGATGGCTCCCCCAGGCCACGCTTGTAGGCCCTTCACTCTTGTACATACTACCGTATTACGAGTTTTGAGTGTTGGATTGCAGAGCGCAACAAGATGGTGCTGTCGGGGTGGATGCAGCTGCATGCTGACAATGCAGGGACAGGCAGAGAGGCCATGGGCAATGATGGCTCCCCCAGGCCACGCTTGTAGGCCCTTCACTCTTGTACATACTACCGTATTACGAGTTTTGAGTGTTGGATTGCAGAGCGCAACAAGATGGTGCTGTCGGGGTGGATGCAGCTGCATGCTGACAATGCAGGGACAGGCAGAGAGGCCATGGGCAATGATGGCTCCCCCAGGCCACGCTTGTAGGCCCTTCACTCTTGTACATACTACCGTATTACGAGTTTTGAGTGTTGGATTGCAGAGCGCAACAAGATGGTGCTGTCGGGGTGGATGCAGCTGCATGCTGACAATGCAGGGACAGGCAGAGAGGCCATGGGCAATGATGGCTCCCCCAGGCCACGCTTGTAGGCCCTTCACTCTTGTACATACTACCGTATTACGAGTTTTGAGTGTTGGATTGCAGAGCGCAACAAGATGGTGCTGTCGGGGTGGATGCAGCTGCATGCTGACAATGCAGGGACAGGCAGAGAGGCCATGGGCAATGATGGCTCCCCCAGGCCACGCTTGTAGGCCCTTCACTCTTGTACATACTACCGTATTACGAGTTTTGAGTGTTGGATTGCAGAGCGCAACAAGATGGTGCTGTCTGGGTGGATGCAGCTGTGTGGTGCTGACAGTGAAGGCACGGGCAATGAATTCACAAGCAGAGGTGCCATTGGCGGAATTGGCTTGCCCAAGCCGCGCTTGTAAGCCCCTTCACTCCCGTACCAGATGCAAGTAACCACCATGTACATATGGCGATAATGACGATGCTCCCACGGCCGAACGCACTCGTGCACATCATGTGTGTTGAGATGTGTGGTGGAGAGCAACACTTGTAGCTCATTCTGTTTCTCAAGTCTCAGTGCACATGCAATCCCTGGTCTTGCGCTCATCGCACGTGCTTGGTAGCTTGCTGCAAACGAATATGCAACAGCTGTGCTCGGAGTTTCAGATAGCACCTATTCATGCATGGAAGCAACTGTCCTAAAAGCATATACCGTACATAAAGGGTGTTAGGTGTCAAATAAACGAGAGCTGGCCACTGGTTCTGAGTCCTGACTACGGTATCCTGGTTAAGGTTTCCTGTGCACAAGATGCTGCACATGCATACCGGCACTAACATCCGCACGCTAACTTCTGATCTACCTGGGCGGCGAGTTTACAAGGCGCTGCTGTCCCCAACCTTAGAACATGCCTATCGCACAAGTCCCTGTCTTTCAACCACAGTGGTCTCTGAGTCTACTATTGACCCTCACCATCCCTATTGCACCCCACTTCTGATGTAGCGGGTCGAGGGTACCTGCCACTTCTTGCAGAATGCAGGTCTCAGCCCATACCCCTTGCTGCTGCCACTGCTCCTTACTACTTGTACTGCAGCTTAAACCCTTAAACCCTAAACCCTCATTCCTAAGAAGAGTGTCAAGAGAGCCGGCCACCTCTTGCAGCATGTGGGTCATGAGTCCATACCCCTCAGGCACACCCGCTGCTGCTGCTGCTGCTCTTTACTTGTTATACTGCACCCTTTCGTTCCATCGGACGGAGCATGTGGAGGGTACCGGCCACCTCTTGCAGCATGCGGGACATGAGCCCATACCCCTCCCCTCAGGCACCCCTGCTGCTGCCTCTGATGCCACTGTGCTTTACGTGTTGCGCTACAGTGTCTCGTTCCCAAGGAGCGCCTTAAGGGTACCGGCCACCTCTTGCAGCATGCGGGAGATGAGCCCATACCCCTCCCCTCAGGCACCCCTGCTGCTAATGCTGATGCCGCTGCGCTTCAAGTGTTGCGTTACAGTGTCTCATTCCCAAGGAGCATCTCGAGGGTACTGGCCACCGCTTGCAACATGCGGGACATGAGCCCATACCCCTCAGCCACCTGCGCTGCTGCTGCTTCCACTGCCTGCACCACCTGCTGTGCTGGAAGCTTGCGGCTGTGAGGCACCTCCACCGCCACATGGGGGCGCGTGAATGGGTAGGACATGCCACTGCAGGGTATGCATTGGGAGGAGCAAGGATCACGTAATAGAAACTGGTTAGAAGTCCTAAGACAAGGCATATAACACAGGGGGGAAGCAACGAGACCGAAATAACTGAGTCTGCGAAATAATTGCACACAGTCTATCACCTTATTTGGTAGGGGATGCGACAGCTGAGGATGACTTTGGTGAAGGGATCAAAGTGCACGAATGAAGCCCGCACCATGACATCTCCTGAGGGTGCATGGGCAGGTAGATGGAAGGAGAGATGTGTCTAGCAGCTGATACTGCTACAAAGTTGTATACTGATACAATGAACTAAGGGATGCGAGTAGGATGCGTTGCAGGGAAGTGGGAACAAGACCAATCCAGCAGCTGCCACTGCAGGAGACTGCATCTTGATTTGAGTCACAAGGAGACATTTGAGTCCACCCAGGTCACTTCTGGGCCTCACCTGAGGTGCCACACGGCTGAATAGCAAGGCATGGCATGACCCGCATGAGCTGCTGCCTCTGCTCCCACAGCTCCTGCACCAATGAGAGTGTGCGCCCTGCTCGTAGCAGCAACCCCTGCATGTCACACATGGGTGGGACAACGACATGTATGGTGGTGGTGGATGGGACGCATAGCTAGGTATGGGAGGATGCAAGCGAGGCAGGGTCATCAATACGTTCGGGTGGCCTGAGTGAACATGCTTGTGCTTGCCTCAGGGAAAATAAACGTAGCACATTACACAGTGCAGCACGGCAACAGGTAATGGCACAGCTGCTAAGTGCATGCATGCTGGGAGTTACAGCTATGCTGCTGCGGTGGTGTGCATGGTACCTACCTGGTAAGCAGCGGCGAGGGCAGCAGCAGTGAGCGGCGAGGAACGCGGCTGAGAGGAACCCTTTGTTGGCCCCATCACCAGCGCTTCCATTGCAGGCACCACGTCGAAGAGAGGGAGTTGCTGTGAGGAGGGCCATGTGAGGCAGGGGAGGGTGAAGAGAGGAAATGGGAGGGCGAGAGGGGTGTGAGCTAATTTCTGTCGGTTCCCGCCAGTTGTGCGTCTTTCACAGGCAGTGAGTTTAAGGGGGGAGATTGGTGAGAGAGGTGATGGTAGAGGAAGAGGGGAACAGGGAGAGACGCATGGTGCGAGGGTCATGGTGAGATGCACATGGTGAGATGCACATGGTGAGATGCACATGGTGAGATGCACATGGTGAGATGCACATGGTGAGATGCACATGGTGAGATGCACATGGTGAGATGCACATGGTGAAATGCACATAGTAAGATGCACATGGTGAGATGCACATGGTGAGATGCACATGGTGAGATGCACATGGTGAGATGGGTGATGGTTGAATCACTTGACAAAAAGCTCGGAGAGTAGGGGTAGAAAGGCATGCGAGGGTAGGAGCAGAGCGCACCTTGGCAACCACTGATTGGTTAATGGCTGGCGAGAGGGAGAAGGAAGATGTCGCCAGGTCGATGTGCACTCTGTTGAGGCGGCGAGCAGAGGGGGACCCAAGCAGAGTCAGGGTGAGCAGAGAGGAGGGGCGAGCAGAGAGAGGGGCTGATGAAGCATGGCAGTGGAACGGATGGGGTTGAATTGATCCACGAGGGGAGAGTGAGGCGCAGGGAAGTTATGGCGCTTTTGTGTGCACATTCACATGCTCCTATGCACTCACACACCCCCATGCAGCCATGCACACACCCCATGCACACACACACACACACACACACACCCATGCACCTATGCTCACACCCCCATGCACATACGCACACACCCCCACCTGAGGGTGACGAACTGGAGAACGGAGAGCACAAGGTCCATCTGTGTGCCGTCTTGTGACTGCTCGTATTCTCTCAGCCTCCACCCCTGCCAGTAGCAGGCAGGGATTGGCAGGGGAGGCGGGGGAGGCGGGGGAGGCGGGGGAGGCGGGGGAGGCGGGGGAGGCGGGGGAGGCGGGGGATGGCAGGATTTGCAAGGGGTGGCAGGAGTTAACAGAAGCTTGGAGAATCACAAAGGAGGGGGGTGAACACTCCACAGAGCACGAGATGAGAAGTCGCTGTGCTATGGGCTGGAAGACCAGACAGAACATTCACATCACATGGGACAAGTGGCAACAGCAAGGACACAGAACCGCTCTGTACCTGCATGAACTCCGCTATCTTGGCAGCTCTGACTGGGTCCGACACAGCACCCGTGCTCCCCCCCTCGCCCCCCTCCACCCCCGTCTCCCCTGCAGCCCTGAAACCTCCAGCTGCTTCCGACGTCCCCTGCCCAGGCTGCGCCCCTATCCGTGGCTGTATCTGTGCCTGTGCCCGCGGCTCTGTCCCTGCCTTTGCCTCTGCTACTGTCCCTGTCCCTGTCTGCGTCTGGTGTTCGGCCTCGGGCTGGCAGCGGGCCTGCAGGGCCTCATGGCGAGCGGCCAGCTCCCTCCTCATGGTGTCTGTCTCCTCCTGCAGACGCTGCCTCTGCCATGCCGCACATGGGTGGGTGGATGGGTGGATGGGTGAGTGAGTGGGTGAATGATTAATGAGACTACTCATAGATCGAATTGCCTCGTGGCGGGCGGCCAGCTCCCTCCTCATGGCGTACGTCTCCTCTTGCAGGCGCTGCTTCTGCCGTGCCGCACATTATGGGTGGATTGGTGGGCTGATGGGTGCAGCGTCAGCGGATCAACTGATCAAATCTTAGGCCCAGCAGAGCAGTGGAAAATGCAGAAAGCACGTCGAAGGCACAGTCAAGGAAGCGGTACAGAGAGCGCACCTGTTGTCTCAGCTCCTGGAGCCGGCTCTGCTGCTGCACTGCCACTTTCTCCTCTCTCTCCTTGAGCGCTTGCTCCGCAACAGCCCTCCTCGCCCTCACTTCCCCCAGCAGCTCGCCCACCCGCCTCGCTGCTGCCTCCTCCGCTGCCCTGCGCTCTATAAGCCACGCGCTGCTGCTCCACCTGCAGCATGCGCTCGGCGTGGTCCAGGGCGCGGAGCAATAATGAGATGTCGTGGAACACAGGGCAAGCAGGCAAGCATGCACCAACACAAGCAGGTAAACATGAAAGTGCGCACCTGCAGCAAGCGCTCCGCGTGGTCCAGGGCGCGGCTCCTCTCCGCCTCCACCTGCGCCTGCACCCGCTGCCACTCCACCTTCGTCTCCGCCCTGCCACCCACACATGCATGCCCGGGGCGCGCACACGTACACACACGCACATTTACATACATGCCACATGGATCAGTTCAAGCATCGGTTTAGCGCAACGGGTTCCACAAGAGCATGTTCAACCAACTGTGGCCGCAGTGGCTTAAGTAATGGCTGGATGAATTGTGCCTTTTGAGTCGACTCAAATCACCAACTGTGGTCATAGTGGCATAAATAATGCCCATGCTGGATGAACTGTGCCAAGTAGCTGTGTGAGTGCCGCGCTGCAATCACGTGGCAGCAACAGAAACAGTACACATCGTCCCAACCCGTGCAACTGGCTCATTTCTGTGACCCCAACCTCTTGCCGCCTCACCTGATGAGGTTCTTGAGGGCCAGCAGTCGCTTCTGAAGCACCATCCGCTGCGCGGGGTTGATTTCCTGCAGCACGCACAGCAGAACAGTGCATGACAGAGAACAACCGAGCACAACTGAGCACAGCAGAGCGGGACCGAAAAGATCAGAACAGGGCAGAGCAGAGGAGTGGCAGTGTGAATAGCTGGCAAGATTTCGGGTTTAGGGTTGTGTGTGAGCGTGCAAGCGCGTGCGGGGGTGGGCAGCGGGAAAGAGGGAGCGAGAATGACAGAGAGGCAAGAGAGGCGGGAGGAGGAGGGGGGGCACGAGCGTGCGCCACTCACAGCAACGAGCTGGGCGAGAGCGGTGTCGCTGGAGGTCATGGCATCCTCCAGCGCGTCTGTCTGCTGCTGCTCCTCCGCCAGCCGCGCCAGCTGCTCCGCGCACAGCCTCTCCAAAGCCTCCTCCTGCCCCATGGCACAGCACACACACCCGCGCCAGCACAGCATGCAGCAAGGTGGCTTGTGAGTCGACTCAACAGCTCACAGCGGTGCGACGGTGTCAAACACAGCCCCAGGCATGTTGCCTGCAGGCCAGCTCGCATCTCGTGCTTCGCATTCCATTTCATTTCCACTTTCTTTATCGGTTGGCCAATCGATGCACTAGATAGGTTTCCTCACAAGCTGTCCTCATCAATCTATCTTCTTCCTCTCTCACCTGCGGCTGCAGGCACACGCGGCGGAACAGGAGCTCTCCCGCACTCGGTTCCCCCGCGCGCTCCCTGGGCGTGCGCGGAGTCCAGGGGGACTGCTCCAGCACCCCCGACTTGCGCTTCTCCAGCGACAGCTGCAGAGGGGGAAGCGCACGTGCGGGACAGGCATGAGACCACGAAAAGAGAGTGAAATCGCTGGATCTAAGACCCCGAATCTATCGCACACTCACGCAACGCAACAGACCATGACGCCACTGCTTCACATCACGGCCAGCACCACGAGCTGCACTCACCTTAGCCCTGGAGAAAAACCACTCGAGCCAGCGGACGCCGCGGATGCGCGCCTGCTCCGCGCTCTCCATTCCTCCGCCCTCCCCGCCCGTGATCACCTCCCCCCATCCCACCTCCGCCAGATCGTAACCCCCCACCAGCGCCTCCCCCATCTCCACATCCTCGAATGCCCGCCTCACACCCTCGCTCCACCCCTCCAGCCCCATACTCCGCTCCTCCACATCCCCCTCATCCCCCCAATTCCCCCCGTCTTCCGCATCCCCGCGCTTCTCCCCACTCCGCGCATCCCGCGCAACCTCTCCGCCACGCCTGGCACTGCCGCCCGCGCCCTCCTTGCCGGCGGACACCACACCCATGATGGGCGAGTCCCCGTCCTTCGGCGACCCGCTCTCCGCCTCGCGCGCACCGCTTCCGCCGTTCCTGCTCTCCGCCACGCGCCTCGGCGGAGTCTCTATCTCCTCCGCGCCCGTCCCCGCCTCGATAGCAGCCATCCCGCCCACGGTCGCGGTCGCAGCGGGGCGGGCAGTCAGGTGGGGGAATCGGCCGATTGTGGAAAACTCTGTCGCCGCCTCTTCCTCTTCCGCCATCTCCTCGACTCTGCCCCCCGCTTCCCCCGCGTCCCCCTCCTCTCCGCCGCCCTCCTTCCCGCCCTCCCTCCCAGCACCCGGCTCCGGACTTGTGCCAGTGCTTTCCCGCCGCCCCTTCTTCCCCACGCCCTGGTGCGCACGGCCTTTCCCCTCGTAACTCCCCCCTCCTCCGCCCGCTGCCCCTTCGCCGCCACCCCCGTCTCCCCCAATACGGTCCTGCGGGGAACCGAACGCGCCATCGCCGGAGAGCTTCCCAACGGCCGCCGCTTCGTCCGCCTGATCGTGCTCCGCGAGTGCCGCCGGCAGCAACAGCGCGGCGTTCAGCGCGCTCTCCAGGCGCAACGGCGCGCACTCCTCCTGATGCGGAACCAGCGGAACGCGCGGAAGCGGATCCAGCGCAGCAGCCTCCCCCACCAGCTGCAGCGGACTCCCCGCATCACCCGCGAAACCCGCAGCACCAACACCCTTCCCCGAGCCCAGTAGCGCACTATCCAACCAATCAGCACCTCCCTTACGCCTCCCCCCGCCTGAGTTAGCCCCGTCCGGCGTCTCTAGCAGCCCGTCCAGGTCCCCGTCGCTTTGGTCCAACACACCAGGGGTCAGAAACGACGACACGAGATCTTCAGCCGCGGCCGCGATACCCTCGCCTGCTGCTTCAGCTGCCGCCGGCGCTGCGGTTATGGCTACTGCCGCTGGTGCTGCTGCTGCGCGTCCGGGTTCGTTGACCGCGGGCCTGGTGTTGTCAACGGGAGTGAGCGAAAACCCGAGCCCCATGCCGTTCACGTCGTCGAGGCCTGGGCTGAGGAACGACGACAGCACGCCCGAACGCCCAATCGCCTCATCTGGCGTGTCTACGTCGCGCGTTGCAGCCGCCTGCTCCCCGCCAGCCGCTCCCTCAGGCGTCGCGGCTGCCATTGCCGAGACAGCCATGGGCGGGTTCTGATTCTCCGCGACGACAGGAGCTGGTTCGACGAGCCCCGAACTCTCATTCCCCGCACTCGCATTACGGACGATGCCTGAAGCAGCAGCTGGCTCTGATTTCCCTTGCTCAACCTCCACATCTTTCTCTTCCACGCATGCCTTTTCATGATCGTTTCCGCCGCCGCATTTCTTCGCATCCTCAGCCGCGGCACCGACGGTACTGAGGCCATCTTCCTTCTGAATCAACTCCTGAAAATTACGTCGGTCCTTACAACGAGTGTTCACCCTCCGATTCGCTCGTTTCCCGGGCTCAGGTGAGGCTGCTGCCGGCGACGCTGCTGCTGTCGCCTTTCCTCGCCCGTGCGACTCTGCGACCTCCGTCGCACTGTCAAACGCCATACGAGATTTCGCATGGTTCCTCGGCGATCGCCTCGGCGACACAGACTCCGCTATATTGTAAGTTTTTGGCGACCTAGGGGCCTTCGGCGATCTCGGCGACTTCGGCGAAGCTGGCGGCGACATCGCGAAGAGGGGTTTGGGCGACGAGGAGACCGCCAGTGCGGCAAACTCCTGTCGTTTCTTCAGCCGAGGTGAGCATCGGGTTGGACTCAATCCCTCGGCTGGAAGCTGCCGCTTTCCACCAACTTTCTGACCGTCTGCCGGTTGCGCTGCCGGCTGACTGGTTCCTTCCGCCAGTGCAGCTGCCGGAAGAGCAGGGAGCTGCTTGCCGTCCAACGAGTCACGCGCTGCGAGGTTCCAAAGATTAGGCACGGCTTGCGTGATGGAAAATTCCTCCCACCGCATCGTGTTCTCGATCTGGTTACCAAATGTCGTCGGGCTGTCGCCTGGCATCGCGACAAAGCTGTCGAACGGGATAATAGGCGGCTCCTTTGGCTTGTCATTCCTGTGAAGCAAACCAGGACAGCAGGGTTAGAGTGCGAGGTCTTTTAAGGTATCTCAAAGAGAAGAAGCGGATGAGGAACGAAGCCAAATGATACGTACTGTTGCTCGATCGCTCGTGGGGAAATTGTTCGAACGGAGCATTCATCCTTGGCGAAGCTCACGCGGCGACCGCGCGAAAGCCGACGTCCGCTCGGAGAGATGTGACGTTTTCCGTCAACGGAGCTCTGGGATTTGAGGACGCCTCGTAGCGGAGAGCTCTTCACTACCTGCAAGGATGCGAACATTTGTCGCTTTTCAATCTCCCGTATCATAAGGATCAATGCGCTTTTTTCACTTTGACCTCCAGCTTGCTTACCGGTGAGGAAAATAGGATAGGATTGATGTTTTCTTTCATCTCTGGAAGGCCTGCACCGGCAGCGTGACTCGGCTGGTCCATTATCTCGACGCCAGCAGATAGCAGACAGCCAAAATCAGTGATTGTATAGCTGACTAATCGCCTATACGCTTATTGGTGGAAGCTACCTACTCAGCGACCTATGGTCTTTCTAAACAGCCAGAATCATCGATAAGTAATAAGGCTAATGAGTGAATTACGGAAGCTAGGACGGAAGTAAATATGTTCAGCGGAGTTAGCATAAACAACTACCGGTACTGAAGGATTGCCTGGTTCGCTGCAGTACGAATCAAAGCAAAAGCCGCCCAAGCTAAGCTTACCCTACCGAAACCGCCGTTGCAATACAGAAAATAAGTCAGGAGTTATACTAAATTTTAGGAGTTACACTAGGTAAGGTGAAAGGCAGAACAGAGCATAAGAAATCGTTGTGGTCAGCCAGAGCGGGACAGAACGAAATCAGCAGCCATATTCAGATCAAGCTTCCCACAGCTTCCGCAGGATGAGCAGAGATCGTCTCGACTTCATCGGGAATTGTTGCTTTCGCAGCGCGCATTCCTCGAGAGTTCAAAAACTTCCCGCCACTCGCTGGAAAATGTCAGTCTGACAAACTGTCGCAAATAGACTATTGTTCGCGATGGGGCATAATACCGAATGCAGATATATGAAGCTGACATGAAAATTGGAATGCGCCCTACAAATCATGGATAAGCCAAGAAAGTAAAAACATACCTGGCCCTCCCACATATCTAGTCAGACAGCATGATGGGCACATATTACCATTAACCAATATATATAAGAGATACACACATATATTTACATACATGGCCTCCTTTTATAGGTCTACCATTTGCGGTAGGCTAGGCGAGTGGCGGTGCGGTTCCAATTCATTAAGCAACACTTGAGGCTGATGTGGGGCTGTGGAGTGTGACTCAATAATAGATGATGTAGTGGTAACAGATGGAACTGGGCCAACAAACCATCGATGTGCATCCACCATCCACCATAGGATGACAAAGCTCATCAGCAGAAGTGATGCTGCAGTGCCGCACACAAATGACGGAAAACAATTGAACAAGTAGTAGTGTGGCCAAGGAAGAAACTACACGGGGAATAATAGTTCCGCAATTAATACCATGACACCCACTCAGAAATTCGATGTGTATGGGAAGCGAAGCCACAAGCTCACCGATGGGGGCATAGTTGAAGGTCTCCCACGTGATAGGGTAGAAGATGGGTACCATGAATACCCCGATGGTGTACACGATATATCCCAGCGCCACTACGCAGAGCGGCCGCGCGCAGCAGCCGAGGGAGAAAGGGCCAGGTTTGAAGCGGTGCGGAGGGATGATGAGGCGGAAGAAGACGACGATGCCGTATGTCCCCAGCCAGGCTGCTGACGTCACTGCTGCCACTGTTCCAAAGAATGTCGGGGAGCTGTGGGGATTACCGATAAGGGCGTGTAGGTTGAAGAATGCGTACAGGGGATGAGGCTCGGCATAGCAGGAGTCGCAAAACATCGCTGGACACCATCAAGCGCAAAAAAAAAAGGAACAAAGCAAACAAAACAAAACAAAACAAAACAAAACAAAACAAAACAGCAGAAAACAAACAAACAAAACAAAGGACCGGCTAGAGGGGCTCACAAGAAACTGGGGACGCCAAAGGCAACAGCGATGAAGGTGGACAACCAGATGGCCCGCACAGGAATGCGGCTGCGCCTTGACAGCCTCCTCCACACGTGCGAGAAGGGCATGGCGCCGTCCCTGCTGGCCGCATAGATGGCGCGCGAGGAGGCGAGTGTGACCCCGAAGCCGGCGGCATAGAAGTTCAGCACCATGAGGAAGAGGAGCACGTAGGCCCCCGTGGCGGAGCCATAGCGAGCGGTGAAGAGGGATATGAGGAGGTGCACGACGGGGTCCATGAAGGACGAGCCCTCTCCCGTGAAGAGAGTGTGGTAGTCGCCCTGTGGGGGAGGGGGGAGGGGAAGGGAGGAGGGGAGGGGAGGGGGAGAGAGAGGGGAGGGGGCAGGAGAGATGCTTTGGGTGAAGTGAGCGGGATCCATGAAGGGCGTGCCCTCTCACATAAAGAGAGCACACGATGGAAATCTTTGAAGGACGCGCACTGGGCCATGAAGAGAGTGTGGTAGTCGCCCTGTTGGGGGAGGGGGGAGGGGATGAAAAAAGCACGTCATGACCATAAGGCACTTGCTTGCACACATTGCATTGCAACAAGTCATGCAAGCGCTTTCGATACGATGAGGTGAGACGCGATGCGATGCGGTGTGATGCGGGACAATGCCACAGCGTGCATGCAGGGAGGCATACTCACCTGGATGCAGGCGGTGAAGGTGACGAGGATGGCGAAGCCAAACGGCACCTGCACCAGAAACAATCCCAGAATGGCCCTCGAAAGGAGGGAGTTTGGTAGGCGCATGCAGGGGAAACGCAATCACCACCCACCTGGATGCAGGCGGTGAAGGTGACGAGTATCGCGAAGCCAAACAGCACCTGCACCAGAAACGACCCAAGAATTGCCCGCGGGCCCGATATGTCCGAGTTCCTCGTCTCTTCCGTGACGTGGGCGGCAGAATCAAATCCGTAGTAGGAGAAGTGTGGCAGAAGGCCCGCGAGGATGAGTGAGGGGAGCACGGAGCACACGCCTGTGATGGCACAGCCTGACTGGTACTCGAGGAAGATGTATGACGCTGGTTTTAACTCCACTGCCACTGCTGGCAGCACTGTCACCTGGTGGTGGTGTGGTGGGAAAAGGAAAAGCGGGGATGGGAGAGTGAATGTAAAGAGCATTGGGAGCACAGAGCACACGCCTGTGATGGCACAGCCTGACTGGTGCTCGAGGAAAAAGGAAGAGGCTGGCTTCAGCTCCACTGCTACTGCTGGCAGCACTGTCAGCTGGTGGTGGTGTGGCGGGAAAGTGGGGAGGGGATGAGCTGAGAGTGATTTTAGAGTGTCGGGAGTGCGGATCATGTCGGTGACATTGCGGCATGACTGGAACTCGGGGAAGATTTACGAGGCTGGCTTGAGCTTCACAGCTACTGCTGGCAGCACTAGAAAAATCGCGTTGATGCTACTCGGAAGCGAACTTAGAAGATCACAGCAATTGTGTAGGCCGGTAGATGTATGCACTGGGAGGGGAGACAACCAGGCCGGGGAGAGGGAGCATGAGGCATGTCAACAGAGGGGAGTGGGGGAAAGGTAGGGTTTACGAGGGTAAGGGAGTGAGGACGAAGGGGAATTCTCAGGGTAATGCAGGAGGCCACAGCGAAGTGATCTGTTGAGCGGGCGAGAGACACCGGTGAGGGAAAGGGAGCTGATGCATCCCAGAACAAGGTGAGAGAGAGAAGCTGTGATCATGAGTGAAAAGGAGTAACAGAGAGAATTGCTCACAATGGTAATGATAATGGAAAGGGTAATGGTAATGGAATTGGTAATGGAAATGGAAACGATAATGGAAATAGTAATGGTAAAAAAAACAATAATAGTGATGGTGATGGTAATAGTAATGGTAATTGTGATGGTAATGGTAATAGTCATAGTAATGGTAATGATATTGGTAATTATAATGGCAATGGTAATCGTGATGGTAATGGAAATGGCAACAGCAATAGCAATGGCAGTGGCAATGGTAATGGTATGGTAATGTTAATGTTGAGTGGTAATGGTAATGATAATGGTAATGATAATGGAAATAATAATAATAATTGTAATGGTAATCGTAATCGTGATGGTAACGGCAATGATAGTGGCGATGGTAATGAAAATGGTAATGGAAATGATAATGGTAATTATAATAATAATAATGGTCATGGTAATGGTAATGGTAATGAAAATAATAATGCTAACGATGGTAATGGTAGTGGTAATGGTAATGGTAATGGTAATGACAATGTTAATAATTATGGTAATGCTAATGGTAATCGTAGTCGAGATAGTAATGGTAATGGTAATGGTAATGGTAATGATAATGGTAATGGTAATGGTAATGGTAATGATAATGGCAATAGTAATGGTAATCGTGATGGTAATTAGACTGGTAATGGTAATGGAAATAGTAATGGTAGTGGTATTGGTAATGGAAATAATAATAGTAATACCAATGGCAGTGGTAGTAAAAATGAGAATGGTAATGGTAACGGTAATGGAAATAGTAATGATGATGGTAATGGTAATGGAAATGGTAATGATAATTGTGATGGTAATGGTAATAATTATGATGGTAATGCTGGTAATGGTAATGATAATCGTGATGCTGATGGTGTAAGCCGTTGAATAAGGCACGAGAGCCAGGTGAGGGAGAGGGAGTTGATGCATCTCAGAACAGGGTGAGAGGGAGAGGCATAGCTTACGAGTCAAGGGAGTAACGCAGAAGCACCACTTACGATGACGATTGTGTAGGCCACTGCGAAGTAAACGTAGCAGTCGAGGATGCGGGAGATACAGGTGAGGGTGAGCGAGTTGAGGATTGCCCAGGAGAGCAGCAGCGCGCAGTAAAGGGCGAAGAAGAATGCTGTTGAGGAGAGGTGCTCCCCGCCTGCCATGTGGTGCATCATCATTTGTACTAGCTGCGCCGCTGCTCACAAGAGGGACAGTGGAGGGGAACACAAGAGCAAGGAAGAACATCAAGGCGAGGGTGGGGAGGGCAAGGTCTGCATGCCTGCCATGCCATGTGGTACACCAACCATCTGCACTAGCTGCGCCGCTGTGTGATGGATGTGGGGAGAGGAAGGGGAGCGTAGGGACAGGCATTCAGATGTGTGTGGAAGGAGAGGAGAGGTGCTCCCCTGCCCGCCATGTGATGCATCATCATCCGCACCAGCTGCGCCGCTGGTCACAGGGGGGGTAGGGAAGTGGGAAGGGCAGAGGAAGGACAAACGTCAAGGTGAGGGAGGAGAGGTGCTGCCCGCACGCCATGAGGTGCTGCCCGCACGCCATGAGGTGCTGCCCGCACGCCATGAGGTGCTGCCCGCACGCCATGAGGTGCTGCCCGCACGTCATGAGGTGCTGCCCGCACGTCATGAGGTGCGCCACCATCTGCACCAGCTGCGCCGTTGGTCACAGGGGGGACAGGGGAGGGGAGCAAGGGAGCAGAGGAAGGACGAGCATCACGGCCCAGGGAATGGAGGAGAGGGGAAGTGTGCGTGCCATGTGGTGTACACCGTGACCCACCAGAGGCTTCTTGCGCACCAGAGGCTTCTTGCGCACCAGAGGCTTCTTGCGCACCAGAGGCTTCTTGCGCACCAGAGGCTTCTTGCGCACCAGAGGCTTCTTGCGCACCAGAGGCTTCTTGCGCACCAGAGGCTTCTTGCGCACCAGAGGCTTCTTGCGCACCAGAGGCTTCTTGCGCACCAGAGGCTTCTTGCGCACCAGAGGCTTCTTGCGCACCAGAGGCTTCTTGCGCACCAGAGGCTTCTTGCGCACCAGAGGCTTCTTGCGCACCAGAGGCTTCTTGCGCACCAGAGGCTTCTTGCGCACCAGAGGCTTCTTGCGCACCAGAGGCTTCTTGCGCACCAGAGGCTTCTTGCGCACCAGAGGCTTCTTGCGCACCAGAGGCTTCTTGCGCACCAGAGGCTTCTTGCGCACCAGAGGCTTCTTGCGCACCAGAGGCTTCTTGCGCACCAGAGGCTTCTTGCGCGGGACAGTGCTGCTTTGAACGAGCATCACATGCAAACCTGGAGACCTGGCCTCATCAGCCATACCTGGGAAGGCGATGCTGCTGGCGCAGACAGAGAGAGCGATCACCTCCAGCCACACCGTCACCCACGCTACTAGTGGCTTCCACTGTGGGTGCTTGAGAGGGGTAGTGCTGCATTGAAGGATAGGGGAAGCACACATACCTGGGAAGGAGAGGACTCAACGGCTCACCTGGGAAGGCGATGCTGCTGGCGCAGACAGAGAGAGCAATCACCTCCAGCCACACCGTCACCCACGCCACCAGCGGCTTCCAGTATGACTGCTGGAGCGGTGCAGTGCTGCTGTGAAGGAAGGGGCAGCACACATACCTGGGAAGGAGAGGCATGAACTGCTCACCTGGGAAGGCGATGCTGCTGGCACAGACAGAGAGTGCGATCACCTCGAGCCACACCGTCACCCACGCCACCAGCGGCTTCCATCGCGGAGGGGACAGGCTGGCCGCCCAGAAGTAAAGCGAGCCTGATGTCTGGAGGGGGGCATGGGGGGGGGGGGGGGGATGGGTGGGGGAGTGGGTGGGTACGGAAGGGGGAACAGCATGAGGGGCTGGCCGCCCAGAAGTACAGTGATCCTGATGTTTGGAGGGGGGAAAAAGTTGGGGAAAGAGAAGAACGGGGAAGGGGAGCGGGGGGGAAACAGTTCATGAGAGGCTGGCCACCAGAAATACAGGGGTGGGGGGGAAGTCACCAGACATACACGGGTAGGGTCAACACAATAGTCACCTCGAGTGCAGCACACTCACGGGGAAGGAGGAGCAGACTTCTGCAATAACGAGCACCATGCAGAGGGCGAAGGGCGCGAGGACCACCCAGGGCCACACCACGCCCACGGGGCCGGCTTGCAGCAGCGCGAAGCCAAAGAAAGGCACGGCTGTCATGTAGGGGTTCATGACCGCTGCCGACACGCCGAATATCTCCAACCAGCCCTGGTAGTAGAAAGGGAGGGAGGTGTGGGAAATGGGGAAGAGCAGGAAGGCACGGCTGTCATGTAGCGGTTCATGACCGCTGCTGACACTCCGAATAGTTCCAGCCAGCCCTGAGAGGCGGAGGAATGGTTGTGGGTAGAAAAAGACGGGGGGAAGAGAGGAAGGGCACGGCCGTCATGTAGGGGTTCATGACTGCTGCTGGTACGATGAATCTCTCTATCCCTGACCAATGGAGGGGGAATGGCGCAGATCTCCACCCAGCCCTGACAGCGATAGGAACAATCAAGTCTACCCCTCCATCTCCACACCCCCGCACTCCTTCACACCCACATCTTTCTCCCCCCCTCCTCTCCCCTCCCTTCCCAGAGCCCCACCAGGCTTCTCTTCAGCTCTTGTCGGTATCCCAGCTCCAGAAGCCGCTTCTCCGCCGGATCTAGCGCCTGCGCGCCGCTCCCCGCGTCCCTGACAGGAACGATCTCGGATTGCGGAGACTGCGCGAGTTGCGTCTGTTGCGGGGAATGCGCGGAGCTTCCAAGGCGTGTCGTCTCCGCAACCGCACCGTGCGCGCAATCTCCGGAGACCGTCGCCATTCCTTGGTGGTGGTGAGAGGCCAGCATCGCCGATCCCGCCGCGTCGTGAGGCGAATTTTGAGGCGATTTTCGAGGCGCCTCAGGTATCGCCTCCGCAACCGCACCTGTAGCGCGATCTCCAGGGAACGCCATTTCGTGTTGGTGGTGGTGGTGAGAGGCCAGCATGGCCGATCCCGCCGCGTCCATTATTCTAACCACTGACGTCAGTCCCATCTGCTGTCCTCGCTATACAATGGTTTTTGTTATCTCAATTCTCTGTTAGCTCTCTTTCACGGAGATTGTCACTTTAGGGTCACGTCTTCCAGAGTGAGCGGTATTGTGAAGGCTCCTAGAAGCCAGTAGGCAAGGATTTGAACGCTTCTTAAAACCGGGGTCTCAAGTTTCCCGAAGTTGCCTCATCCTTCCTACCTTTGGTTGGGTTACAAGGTCCAACCAAGCTTCCTACCTTCGGTTTTGTCACAAAGTCCAACCAACCTTCCTACCTATGAAACCTGTGGACCCTGGGTTTTAAAGAGTCTACTGTCGGCGAGTGAGCGAAGGCTTATAAGACTAATCACGCAGAATCGCACATTGGGTTAATATGTACAGTATACACCCGAGCCTATAGTACTCTTGGATGGTTAGATCACGCACGCCTTTTCGTACGCAGGTACGGCGAAACTGAGAAACTATGGGGAGGAATGACGTGTTCGTCTGAGTCCCTCATCATGCATGCATTGTGAGTCGTGACCTCCTGTCTCAATCTCATCAACCCTAATACAATAGCGTTACTGTACGGAACGATTCTGATACTACAGGCTCCAAATGAACGGGAAAGGCTCAGTGGTGTCGAGAGAGGATCTACAGACGTCGAATCAACGGTCCACGATAGGCTTTCGCTGCGCATATATTCTGCTTCGGTGTTCGGACTAACAGCTGCTTTCTATCGCCAGCTAACCTCGCACACGCTTGAAGCATGCTGCTGACACCAGGAAGCCAGCCACGCAAATAAGATATTAAATTTTGTGGCCAATCTACAGCGAAGAAAAATGGCGAGAAAGCTTGCTTGCTTTGGCCTTTGACTGAACGGTGCATATAAACGTGGAGCACGCAGCGGGACTTAGGGCAGACGTTATCAGCAAGACCACTATGGCTGATTCCCGACAAACCAGCTAAGCGAGTCCCTTTTATGCTGAATCTTGTGATGGAAAACTGGCAATGGCAAGACAAGTGAGCTCTACGGTCTACCTGGTGAGCGAGTGTGCTGCTGAGGTCGATTGTACGGATCTGTCGCGCTGGATAGACCTGGTTGGCTGAATCTGCACGCGCTGAGTCGGTGATTCCGCCGCCGCCAATCTCGTGTGGACCTAGTCCTTCCGAAGGAAACGCCCTCTCATGAGTCACGTGACGTCAGGTAAGGGACCCTGGGGGCTTTTTGGTAATGAGACCACAAGACCATACTGCAACGAACCATACCGAAACCCACCGTAACACAGTGTCTGTCGGTGATTTCTACTGTATCGAGTACAAAACTAGTTCCTCCAAACATGTACTTGCTCGCGTACTGGCAGTGGCAGAACATGCTTTTGGAAATACAGCCATCACAAATTCCCTGATAGAGAACTACACAAACTCTTGAAACGTTTCCCCTAAAATCTATCCTCTATGGCAAGCTAAAGGTAAAAATGATTTTTTACATTGGACCTTTACAGCAAGAATGTAGTATATTAAGGTGAATCAAGCATAGGTAGCTACTTCCTAGAGAACAAAATTAGCATACCACAGCTAATATACAATATGGCAAATCCACAGGGAAAACGGCCTTATGGGCAAATCTCGGTATATTTAATGAGCTTTCTCGCACCCACGATCATGAAGTTTTTTTTTTTTTTTTTTTTGGGTTGCGAAGCAACCCTTTACGATCGATTTTGATAATTTTTTTTCATGGTTTTTCTAAATAAACCATGAAAATAAAATTCGTACTCTACAGTACCACCCTTCCCATTGTGCATGTTGAACAGATTTGAATATTGATAGCAGTTTTTGTAGTTGTTTTGTGTATAAATGCTATACTGTGTGTATGATATCTCTTACTGTTTGATTTTGTTGTGAATAAATATTATGAATATTAGTAATGATTTACAAGCCAACCATGCTTAAATGAATGTAATAATGAGGCATGATATATAGATGCATAATACCAATACATGCATGAAAATGCTTCTGTATGCACGTGATATGCTGAAATGCACCACACCCTTATATCATACAAACGCGAGACAGTTAACGACCCAAAAACTAGGCTACCGCATCCCCTGCCTAGCATGGGGGGGAAGTCAATAGCAAAGTCTTTGAATAATCAACTAGCACATGAAACAATACAATCTGTTAACTATAAAAAGAGGTTCACTCTATCAAATCCAGTTCGAAGTGGCAAACACACGAGTCACTGAGTGCGCCAATGAACCAATGAGAAATGATAGAAATGAACCCCTCTTTTTAAATTGACAGACATGCATTGATATTGCAATGACAGATGAGATGAATGCACGCATACAAACAAACACATTCACACAATAAAAAACACGAGCTCTGGCAAACCCAGCCAAAAAACACGCGATACACGCGATACTAAATAACAAGCAAATCAACGTTAAAAGGACAATACGTCACATCCTAGTGACCAATACACATTTTCCAGATTGAAATCGCCTTCCCGACCATCAAGGCTCCTGAAATACCGGTTTAGAAAATAGAAAGGAGGAACGGAAAGAAATAGCCGGTACAACAAACAAAACAGAGTTGAAGGTTTAGGGTATGTAAACAAGCAGCAAACTCATGCAAACACACCTACAAGGAAAACATACTAGAGAGCAAAGAGGCTGGAACAGCCTACAACCTACAATCGACAGAGTATCCCATACATTAGCTATACCTATGACATGGGAAACGTCAAAGCAGTAACAGATGAAAACAAGGGACGATAATACGGATGTGGGCAAGGAAGGTCGAAAGAATGCAAAAAATAACGACGGAATGAATCAAATGGACAAATCAGAACACGAAGGAATAAGACAGATGTTGCAAGAATATATAACCAAGGAAAAGAAAACTAGAACACAGAATGTAGGTAGAAGGAAAAACTAATAGGTCATGAATAAGTGTAGGTAAAGGGGATGAAGGAAGAAGGGACCTACGGGCGGAACGGAAGCATGCATGAGTCGATTGTACCGATAAATCAGTATCAACCTAAAACATAAGATCTCACAGAAGCTAGCTATGCTTAACTTAGTTTAGCGTAGGAATTACAAGTAATGGCTGGTCCTAACAAGGGCTTACAACCTTTGGATAAACAACTCTCGTCAATGATACTAGATCTAGCTTACAAAATCAACTTAGTTCTACTTACTAGGTTCTCACCTGTCAGTGGTAGGTAGCTGGAGCGTGGTTCGAAGGCGTATGCCAAGAAAAGCTCCACTGGCGAGAGGAAAATGAGGGAGCATATGGCGCATATGGAGCAGGCGAGCTGAAGGGGGGAAAGAAACATAGGAAGAAGGAAAACCATTTGAATTGAACAGAATGAAACGATGAACAGCTGAACTGGAAAATGAAACGATGAGATGCTTTCTAAAGATAGGGTCGGACAAAAAACGATCTAGCTGCCAAGGTAGAATGTGTGAGACTTCTACATTCTATATAAGAGCATTACGAACTAGTTATATTGAAGGTCGTCGATACTTAGTTTAGTCTAGAATATAGCATCTACCTTAGTTCTACTTAAAGCTTAGAGATATACTCACCACTGGTAGGTAGGTGAGCGTGACTGGCGGGCGTGGGTGGGGAACAGAGACTCACTGGCGAGAGGAACGAGAAGAAAAGGAGATATGAAACCCTAGGTAGTACCAACTTTGTCGTAATTACATTTTACCAAACAGTTTTTTTGCGGCAGCGCATAACAGCATTTGTAGCGCAGTTGATTGAAATTCGGTAAGCAATCGAGTGGTCATCAGTTCGATTCCTGGTGACCGTTTTTCAAATCTTGACTAGGTAAAAGGAATGCCATTAACTTTCACACCAACTACTACATGTTGTATAAAAATAAGAATGTACTTACAAAAAAAGCTTCGCAACCCTAGGATGACTTTGTCTCCTCTTGTTGTTGTTGTTTGTTTTTTTGGGTTGCGAAGCAACCCTTTACGATCGATTTTGCCAAATTTTATTTTCATGTTTATATTTTTTGTTAAAACATGAAAATAAAATTTGCAAACTACAGTAATACCCTTCCCATACTGTATGCATGTTAAGCAGTCTTGACTACGGTACTGTTCACAGTGTGTTGTTTAGTGCAGATTTGCTGTACTGTTTGCATTACCGTATATGTTTTACTGTTGAATGGTGTTGTGTGATAATAAATTGATGCATGCACAATGCATAAATGATGCTATACAATGCATAATGCATAAATAATGCTATATAATGCGTGTGATATATCATGAATGATGCGCATGCACATGGTAAAATGCGTGACAGTTAAAAACCCAAAAACTAAGCTACCGCCATCCCCTGCCTAGCATGGGGGGGAGGTAAATAGCTTAGCTTTTGAATAATCAACTACCACATGAAACAACACAATCTGTGAAATCTAAAAAGAAAGTCATCTCTATCAAATCCAGTTCGAAGTGGTCGCACACGAGTCACTGAGTGCGCCAATGAACCTTTTGTGAAATGATAGATTTGAGATTTCTTTTTAAAGATCAAAGACGTGCGTTGTTATTGCAATGGATACGGATGAATGCACACAGCCACAGCACACACACACACACAAAGACACACACACACACACATACAAACACATATACAAGATCACACACATTCACACAAACGGAAAAAAAAAACGTAAATGCAAAAAACTCTAAAAACAACAAAACATGCAATACAAAACAATCCTACAGATTACCACTACTATCCACTTCACAAGTAATCTTGGCAGATGTACACATCTGGAACGAAAGCCAGAAGGAAATCTGGAAAAACAAATAGGCACCGAATGAAGGAGAGGGAAAGAAGGAAGAGGGGAGTGAAGAAAAGAATTATCAAAATGTGGAGAAAATTGGAAAGAAAGTAAGTCAAATGAGGAGAATATTATAATAACCAGACAGAATGCAATCTAATGGTGGTAAGGTAAAAAAATGATGAACAACACTATACGTTAAAAAACAGAACGCAAAAACAGA